GTGATCCTCCTGTTTTCAGCCTCCCAAATGCTGGGATTGCAGGTGCGCTCAGCCATGCCCAGTCTCAATCTTCATCTCAGTGCGCTCCCGGGGGCAGGGCCGGCACCGCATGCCGGGATCAGGTGCTTTAGTCCGCTGAGCTATCTGGCTAAACCCAACAACCCAAGTCTTTTCTTTTTTAATTTTATTTTTTTATTGAGAAATAAATATAAATGAGACAGTTTCATAGCTGATTAATAGGACAGTTTTGATAATCAATACATTGTACATTGTTATCTTCTTAGTGGTTATCCATAGTACAAGAAGCAGACAGGATATTCTGTCCAAACACTGTTAGTACACCTCTTTCTTCTCATTGAATTAAGCAAAAGTAGCTGTAAACCTATCCTAACTATTTTGTATATATAAATACAAAATGATCTTTCCTTTATATCTTTTTTTTTTGTCTTGTCAGGGTGAATATTCTATTGGCATCTAAATACTGTAGATGTTTGAATTCAACTAAACAATCTAACACTGTCTAGCAGTCTCTAATATTAGTAGGTTATCCTCAGAAGTTATTGACTTGAGCCTTTTACAGCTCATCGTATTAATATGGCTTTACTTTATGTACCTCGTTTTTATACTTTTCTCTGGATGGTTAAGACCAAGATATAGCAAGACCTATATACCCAGAAATGTAACTTTTGTATCTGATAAGGTCAGCCAAGTACTCTCAGGATTTATCCTGCAGCCCTGTACCGCCCTTTGTACATCCTTTTGTCAGTGTCTGACCTGAGGATGAGTCACGGCCATTGCTTGACCAATTTGCTCTCTGTGAAAGCTTGAGAAAATGTTTTTTCTCTCCATGTGATTCTCCCCAGGCTCACTTTACATCATCGAACAAACAACCCAAATCTTTTTTTTTTTTTTTTTAATGTGTGTGTGTGTGTGTGTGTGTGTGGCCAGCTCAGCCCACCAGGGGGCGGGGCTGGCTGGCATGTGGTGCTGGGGGATTGAACCGCGGTCCCTGTGCTTTGCTGAGCTTGTTTTAAGTAGGTGCTTTAGACCACTGAGCCATCTCACCAGCCCCAACAACCCAAATCTTGACCCACAGCTGATGTACATGAAATGTGAGAGGTGCGTCTCCTGTAATGGTGCGAAATAACACTCAACAGGAATTTTCTACAGTCAGTTATCTAAAGCCCAGGATGTTTAGGACCAGGTAATACCGGAGTAGGGAAAGGAAAGAGAAAAAGGGCAAAAAGGTGTTTTTTTCTTTCTTTCTTTCCCTTTCCTAAGTACTCCACTCGGGTGTGGGAAGGAGGGCAAAGGATCCCGATGGTGGTGAGGATGCGGGATGTATCTAGAGGAGTATAACATGGAAAACTGAATACAAAATTGATACTGAGAAATGAGATGGGAAAAGATTTTTATGACTGATATAAATAGTAGAGTGAAAGTTAAAGGGGACAAATGAAAAGGGGTAGAGGACCGAAAAGAAAAATTGAGAACCAGTAGGACACGGGTGAGTGGCGCTTTCCCTGGGAGCAGGCGGCAGCTGCGGCTTCATTTGGAGCTATGGCCAAGATTTGGAGCTCGGGACCTTCGTGGTAAGGAGAAAGAGGATCTACAAACCGCTGTGCAGGGTTTCAGGGTAATTCCTGAGGGGATTTGACTGACCTTGGTAGATACAGAAGTTACATTTCTTGTTATATAGGTCTCATTTTATCTTGGTCTTAACCATCCAGCAGAGAAGTATAAAAACAAGGTATAAAAAGTAAAGCCATATTAATATGCTGAGCTGTAAAAGCCTCAAGTCAACAACTTTTGGGGCCAGGGAGATGACTCAGCAGAATAAGCGCTTCCCTCGCAAAGGCCTGAGTTCAATCCCCGGTTCCACCAAAAAAAAAAAAAAAAAAGTCAACAACTTCTGACATTGCCAGTCCTGTGGATAACCCACTACTAATACAGACTACTGCAATATATTGGAATATTTTGCTGAATTCACGTACTTACAATATTTTAATGGTAATGGAATACCTATCTCTGACAAAACTAAACAAAAAAGGAGCTATAAATGAAGGACTATTTTGTATCTGTACATAAAAAATAGTTAGGGGGGCCAGGGAGATGGCTCAGTGGAATAAGTGCTTCCCTGGCAAGTGCAAGGGTCTGAGTTCAATTTCTGGTTCCACCAAAAAAAAAGAAAGAAAGAAAAAGAAAAATAGTTAGGATAGATATACAGCTACTTTCTCTTAATTCAATGAGAGGAAAGAATTGTACTAAAAGTGTTTGAACAGGATATCACATCTGCACCTTGTACTAGGAATAACCACTATGAAGACAACAATGTGCAATATATTAATTATTGAAACTGTCCTACTAAACGTTTTTGAAACTGTCTCATTGCTATTTGTTTCTCAATAAAATTAAGTTTAAAAAAAGAAAAAAAGAAGAAAAAGGAGTAATTGAAACAGCCGGAGGACCTGAAGGTGCAGCGGTCACAGCTGTGCGTCTCCAATGTGGCGTCCCAGCTCTCCAGGACCCGAGTTGTCTGCAGCTCCATCCCCCGTGTTCTCACGTCATCAACCAGACCCAGAAAGACCTCAGGAAGTACTACCAGGGCAAGAAGTACAAGCCCCTAGACCTGCGGCCCAAGAAGACCTCAGCCTAGCGCGTCGCTCAAACAGCACGGAGAAGCGGTAGGCCAGGAGGCAGCAGAAGGAGCCGCCATACCCTCCGCGCGAGTAGGCTGCCAAGGCTTGAGCAGCGCAGGGACAAGAAAACTCAAACTCTGGGGCTGGGGGGAGACGCAGGTGAAAGAAGGCAGGTAAAGATTTATGGATATAAAGGGATAAAGGAGAATTCCCTTACTCTCTGTTAACTATATTGGGAGGAAAAAAAGCAAGAGGAAGAGAAGTACACATACACAGACATGCGCATAAGAGAAAAAAAGGCAAAATAACGAGGTAAGGGGGTGTGCAGAAAGGAAACCAGTGAAATTATATAAATATATATATATATTTTTTTTTAATTAATTAATTTATTTTTTTTGTCTTGAGGCAGGTCTCCCCATGCAGCTCAGGCTGGCCTTGAGCTCATTTGTAGTCCTGGTCTTAAACTCGCCGTGATCCTTGTGCCTCATCCTCCTGGGTGCTTGGATTGCAGGAGTGCACCACCACGCCTGGCTTAAAACTTTTAAAAGTGAAATAAAAAATAATACAATCAAAGAATAATAGGGCTGCAAAGACAGCTCAGCAGTCTAAGCACCTATCTGGCAAGTGCAAAGACCCAAGTTTGATCCCCAGTATTGCATGCCATGCCAGCCCCAGAACCCCAGACACACAGTGCTGGCCAAAACCAGGTGTGATGGCACACAGCTGTAATCCCAGTACTGGGAAGGCTGACACAGGAGGATCACTACAAATCCAAACTCCATAGCGAGGCCCTGTATCAAATAAATAAACAAAGAATAATAACTTTTTCTGTTGCTTTGGATGGATGGCTCTTTTCTTCAGCCTAGGAGGGGTTAAGGAGCAGAGATCAAGCCATGATGGAAGCCAAAGGTGGCAGTCCACCCCCAGCACGATGCTGAGTGTAGAGATCTACTTACAGCGAGAACACAGTGCCAATGAGGGCTTCCAGGCCTAACTCAGTCTGAGCCTGGCGTCTGCCTGCAAGAACTAGGTCCGTGTTCCCTACCCCTGCCTCTCTCTCCCTCATCCACTCTGGGAACCTGGCAGTGTGAAGCAGCTAAGGGGCTGCTTGGGGAACCAAGTACAGACACACAGCTCTTCCCTACCATGGAGTCCCCACAGGCTCCTCCTCCCTGGGTTGTAGCTGCAGGGGCTTGCACTGACGTCACTCACCAACCATTGACTGTGGAAGGCTGTTTGAGAAAAAGTGTCCTGTAGGCTGCAGATGGCCCTCTTCATCCTGATGCAGTTGTCCAGTTCTCTACCAGCGAAAAACTTGGTAGGTTCATGTTGCCTCCCGGCAAGCCAGCTGTTCTGCGCAGTGGCTCACAGTCACTCCGCAGTGTGACCTGTTTCTTCTGTATTACTCAGGGCTAGTTTCGCCCCTCTGTCAGTTCCCGGTGGTTCTAGGTAAGTTCCACTTACTTCGACTCCTCTCCCAGCTGTTGTTTTCTGGACTTGACGTGCTTTATCCTAGAGAAGCCAAGTTGCTGGCATTCACTGTTCCACCTTGTTGGGACCCAACTCACATGTTTCTTTCTTTTTTTTTTTTTAAATTTTATTTATTTATTTATTTATTTATTTATTTATTTTGCGTGTGTGTGGCCAGCTCAGCCCACCAGGGGCGGGGCTGGCTGGCATGTGGTGCTGGGGGATTGAACCGCAGTCCCTGTGCTTTGCTTGGCTTAGTTTGTTCTAAGTAGGTGCTTTAGACCACTGAGCCATCTCACCAGCCCAGTCACGTGTTTCTTAGAACTAAAACTTCATGCAGTTGTTTTCATTTCATGCTCTTACAAAGATTATGTAAATCCAGTTTATAGACTCACACAATAAAAACAGGTCCAGGAGGATTCAGTAAGTTGTCCATGGCTTGGAGGAGGGACAAGAGCCCGAGTCTGTGTGACTTCAGTCTGTACATTTATGCACTTGGCTATAATGTTTGACCAAATCCATGTTCACATTGCCAAGGATGGTCCCCACTTGAGTTGGGGTTCCCTACTGCTGTGGCCCCATCACTGTAGCACAGATTCATTACTGGAGTTGACATCTGAGGTGTTGTCTGCCTTGACCTAAGGCCTGAAAGACTAGATGCCCCCCCAAACCAGTCTGAAGTCTTCCCCCCCCCCACCCTGCACAGGCCCCCTGTCTCCTCTTGCCTACCTAGTGAGGACAGTCTTGACTGATAACCCAGCTCTGTCAAGAAAGACGCCCTTTTTGCTGAGTAATTAAAAGCAGGAAATACTCTATAATAGGAAATGAATGAGTAACACGATCAGAGGCAATCTGGACAGCAGAAGTCATCAGCCTGGACTCAGGCAGTCCTCCGGGAGTCCAGCTGGATCTGGTTGCTGCTTGCTGTCAGTCAGAGCGGGCGAGCAGGGAAGCAGGACCATGTGGCTACCCCCAGCTATGCTCCTTCTTAGCCTCCCAGGTGAGTGGGGCTGGGCTTGGGGCCTCAGTGCTACAGGAGCAGAGCAGGAGGCAGAGGGCAGCTGTCCCTTGAGGACACCTGCCCCATGCACCAAGGTGGGGGGCTGTTTTGTCAGTTCATTCCACAGAAGTGTGCTGGGCCCTAGGTAAAGCTCAGAGTGTATCAGGCCCTCAGGATCTGCAGAGGAAAGGAAAATGGGGCGGCTATTAAAGAAGAGCCCAGAGAGCAAGGAGGGTTGAGTGTACATTTGAAGAACAGGGCAGGGCACAGTGAGGTGCCAGGAGAGGTGTGCCCAGAGCAGGAAGACTTTCCCACGGGGAGAGCTGGAGAAAGCATCCTGGAGGCTGGGCTTTTGTCAGCTCTTAAAGGAAGTGACTGGTCCTTCCTGCAAGCATTCCAGGGGCAGCACTGCTGTGCAAGGTGTGCAGGCTCCACCCGGAGGGCATAAGAAGCAGAGGAGCTCTCAGTACAGGGTGCCTGCAATCGGGCCCAAGATGTGAGGCTGCTCACCAAAGACACAATGGGGAGGGATGGCTGGGAATGTAAGTCTGACTCAAGCTTTGCCTTTGACCCCAGCTGTCCCTTCTCTTTATCCCAGTGTTGGGCTACCCCGGACGGTGAGCAGAAGGGCTGGGTGAGAGGGCACACACATACACACACACACACCCATATGCACACACTGACACGATGAACTCAAAGGCACACACCTGTGCGGTGTCACACCCCATCCACCTCATTCATGGTCACACACTCATTCCCACACCCACTCCCACTCATGCTCTTACACATACAGGGACACAAAATGTCATCCCTGGAGATTATTTAGATGAGGATTTTGCACACACAGGAAGGACGGATACAAATGAGGAAGTTTATGTCACAGAGTCAAAAAGAAAGAAAGAAAGAGAGAGAGAGAGAGAGAGAGAGAGAGAGAGAGAGAGAGAG